AAAAAAAAAAATAATACTACTGATAGTGAGAGAAAATATTTTACCAATAATGCAGTTAAGATTCATACTAATTTGCCAGAGAAAATCACTGACAAAACTAATCCCAGTTTTTCATCTAACAGTCGAGAATTTATGCAGTCAAGCGTTTTCAAGAGAGACGTTTAAAAGGCTTCTATGTAGAGTCAAGAAAGATAAACAAAACTTCGTAAATTAGCTGCATTGCTTAAGATATGATAAATGAAAGATTACGAGATAAAAACAAGCGAAATGCAATAAACAACTAACTTTCTGAGAAAGTGAAAGGCAAATCATCCATAAGCAACCAAGCATGAATACACATTAGATTAAGTCAAATAAACCACGATCAACTGATAACCGAACAAAAGGGGCAAAGCAGAGAAAAAAAATTACCTGAAAATGATAGCTTGTTATGCAGGATTTAATCCGACTGAATAATGGGACCATGATCTTTTGAAACTCGCTCATGCTGATCACCTCCAAAATCTCCTCAACCTCGCCTAAAAAAATCGCCTCCTTTTGACTATTCGTAATCGGCCAACACCTTAACAGCCCCATTATAACACCACTAGCCAGCATAGGCTCCTTCTCTACAAACTGAGTCACGCAATACGCAAGCTGCTGAAAATAAACCCTCAACGACTTGGGCCTGTGCAGAGGGAGCAAAGCTCGCCAAAAGAATATCTTATGCTCCTCTTTCAGAGGCAGAGCGAAGCCCGTAACCACACTCCCGAAAATCTCGAGCAGCTCGGCTATCCCGTTGTGTTTTTCCATCTCGAAAACAAATCTGTAAAACACATTGCTCATGCACTTTCTTATAAATGGTCTGTGAATCATAAACTTGCCGTATATCCTATGGAGAATAGCTTTCAGGCAGTCCCTTTCGCGAGGGTCCTCCGAGTCGAAAAGGTCGATTATTTTAGATATGAACGAGTGGTTGATGTACTTTTTCGCAATCTTCGTCTCGAGTGAGGATGATGTCACGAACTTGAGGAGAAAATCGTACACGATCTGCAGATGGGCCCACGCGGGCTCGAAAGCGGGCTCGTTTTCATTGGACTCATTCTCGGTCGGGCTTCTGGCCCTCGAGCAGTGGGAATTGGGAGGAAAAACGCGGAACAGGTTGATCGAGCACATCTTGCACGATGCTTGGATCAGAGGCTCGGTGAATTTCAGGGGATTTTCAGAGACAAACTCGAGGAGCTCAAGCAATGTGGCCCGTTTGAGCTCCTTCTCGTGAACATTCTTGGAGGGGTCTGTGAAGTCAAACACCACACAGCATAGGCTCAGCTTGCTGATGAAAAGATTCGTTCTCTCCGAGCTCGGGACATCCTTGAAAGCAAGGAGCGGCTCGATTCCAGCAATCACGCTGGCTGGAAAAACAGCGGCTGGGCCCCGTTTGGCAGCATTT